TTGTTGTCCTTGTAGTTGTAGTTATGATAACATTATGGTTGAAGTTGAAAACGTAATGTAGACCGGCCCCAAGTCCGGCAAACCACCCGCCAGCCTCGGAGCCAGGCGGAGTCCGAAGACCCCACCGGCCCCAAGTCCGGCAAGCCAACTCGCCAGCCTCGAAGCCAGGCGGATTCGGGAGACACCACCGGCCGCAAGTCCGGCAAGCGTGTGAGGCTCGACGATGTAAATAATAGGACGTGAGGGCCAATAAAACAGGACCAAGAAAAAGAAAGGACCGAAATAAAACTCCACCCATTGGTTGGGTTTAATAAGCTAACGACAACATAGGGAACGAGAATTTTTGGGCTAGGCAGGAATCCTAAATGCTTGCACCGTGGCAGACTGGAGGGCTTACATTTCGGAGGGTGCTGTACACGAATCAGGGTTTGAGGATGCGTTGGCTTGGGCGGCTTCATGTCCCGGGATGTGTAGCTTCCAAGGTAGGGCCGACTAGCTGCGTTGGGGATTCTTCTTCGGGGCCTGGTCTCGGGTTCAAGTCACATCGGCGCTAGGACAAGGCGAAGTGGAAGTCCACAGATTTGGCAGATAATCCCTAAACCCTAAACCCTAAACTCCGGAAAAGAGGCTACTGCACTTGCGCCGCAACCGGCTCCCAACCCGTGGAGAAGATGGGACCTGCTCCCAAGTTGGAAGCTGCGATCGTTGCTTGGCACGAGCATTGGGCCCCGTCTGAAGGCGCAGGAACTGGCAGTGCCGTTCCGCAGGGAAGACGAAGTGCCGAGCCAAGGAAGCTGCAGCCCTGGAACTGGCAGTGCCGTTCCGCAGGGAAACGGACGACCTCCTCAGACCGTCAAAGCATACGCCCTGGTCACACGGATCGGTGTCAATCCGGAGAGCCGAATCAGAACTTCCAGAGGCTCATCCGTGACGAAATGATGCCGCGGATCGATGTCCGAGCTCGTCAAGCTCGTGGACGACGAAGTGCCGACCCAAGGAAGTGGCAGCTGGAACTGGCAGTGCCGTTCCGCAGGGACTCAGCCACCATGATCATGCATGGCCGCCTCGTTGCAATCCTCCTCATGCTCCCCATCGTGTAAGAGAACCCGACGTATCATTTCAAGTCCTGACTAGGTGCATTGGGGTTTGGCTTCCTTCTGTAAATACTTAAACTTATTATGGCGTAGCAACATCGCACCAAGCCGCATCCGAACTGAAGATTTTTGCATTCGGAATGATTCTGTTCCCGAAAACCAGTGACTTCCCGGATCCACGATGCGGAACCTGCGCAGCCAAATTCCTGCTAAAGCAATGCATGCCAGCCCGAAGGTTGAAAGGTCCGTCAGCCACCGAAAAAACCTTGCAACTAAACCCTAAACCCTAAGCCTAATCCCTTTCTTTAGACCAAACCCAGAATGCAGGAGCTGGACTGACAACGCAGTCATCTGGACAGGAGGCAGAGATGTTTGCGGGTGTGGTTTTATGGCTTCTGGTGCACCTGTGAGAGCCGCAGTCTTCCTGAAAGCATGGTTCATCATCGCGTGCGACTTCTGCACCTGGTAAGGGTGAAACTGTGCAGCGAGTTGCGCACATGCCGTCATAGAGCTTGCAAGCATGGTGTCAAGATGCAGCACCGCGTCCGTGCTTGACCAGGACAGATGGATGCAGCAAAATCGCCAGGACCCCAATGACAACCAGTTAGGTGCTGCCTGTCCAACAGCTCTGTGGGTGTGGTTTGGTTTTGAAGTTCATCTGGGTAAGTGCCAACTTGGGAGCTTGCCTTGTGGTAGCATTGCCATTTCGTCGTTGCAGAGTTGAAGACGGGTTTAGGGGTGTAGGTAGCATGCACGTTCTTGCGCTCGGGGGTTGGAGTGCTGCCTGGCTGCAGGTTGCTTCTTCCGATTTTATTCTGTGATAGAGGAGACGGCCGACTAGAGCCAGAGCGGCTGGTTCGGGGGCGGTGAAGTGATCATTCAGAATAAGTTACAAGACTGAGCTCAGCCCCCAGATCCAGCAACGCAGCAGTGTCGCAAATGCATCCCAGGTAACTTTTTCCAGGGCTCCGAAACAGCAGAACCTTCGGTGAGAACGTTCGAGCGAATGCTTTGAAAGCTTCACACACTGACTTTCCCATGGAAGAAGTAGGGTTTAGGGGTTTAGAGTTTAGGGTTCATGGTTTAGGGTTGAGGGTTTGCTGCAGAGTTGTCCAAGAGTCACAGTGAACGACTGCCCTTGCAAAGGCTCGGCGGTCTGCCAGCGACAAAGCCAGAAGCCCAATGTTTTGGGGCAGGTTGCCTTTGGCCTTTCCGTGACGCAACGATCGTAGGGCATGGGGTGACTCGATAGGTGGCCGGCTTCTTCTCAAGAGATACTTTTGTTGCGGTACCAGCTTGTGCATGACATCCAAACAAGAACGTCGGCGAATATCCGAACTCTTGGTTCAACCCCTTACATCCCGGCACTTTGCGGTAGATTCCCAGTTCAGGGCAAACAGGGCTCATCGGTCTCTGTTGCAGGTCGAGGCTGTTCGGGTTTGCCTCAAGTATTCAGGAGTTCGGTTGAGAAAATTTCGGGGAATTGCATCGCCTGCCCAGACCCAAATCCGCCTTGAAGCCTCCCCCTTAGACTCCGGGCAGAGGATTTGCAAATTGACCTGCGCAGACACGCCCACACACACACAGAGAGGTCCATGCCGCGATGCTCAAATTCCATCTTTCTTCGATCGCATGTGCAGCTGAAATGTCGCACAGAAGAAGTTTTCTAGAGACTGTTTAAATAAGCCATAGCTGGAGGATAGCAGTGTGCGCCGGACATGAAACCATCAGAGCTCTGTTGACTGTGTGAAGACCGTGTTCGTGTGCTACAGGGCGGCTGTACGTGGAGAGACTTGTGGCACAGACAAGATCATGATAAACTGGACAGAAAATGTTATCGGACATCAGATAGTATTAGGCATGGCTGCCGAGCATGGCTGCCGATGGGGACGACGACAGGTTGCTGGTAGACTTGGGGAGGCCGCAACCTGCAATCTGGTCTGCTGACCACCGGAATACCCTGGCAGAATCTCAGTTGTGGGAGCAAATGTTGTTTTTGTTTGCTGGTCGAAGTTGGGTAGAGTTGGCATGATACTGCCTTGTGCACATTTTGAGGTAACAGCTGCCAAACCTGCGAACGCAGCGGGTGAGATACAAGACAGCCAGTCTGATCATTGGCGAAGTTGCCAGGCCCAGAGTGCTTGCCCCAGATGCATTTTCGAAGCAGGCATGGCAGGCATGCTGCGGAAAGGAGCTGCGAGCTTTGCGCAGCCCAATGCTGCAAGCGCTTGGACAGAACGGTTTACATTCATCCATCCAACCGCCGGTCGCAAAACCTGGCTAGTGGCGAGGCCTCCATCATGGGGCTCTGCGTTTGCGATTGGATGCTGGGTCTGCTGTCATTTCGAGCCTCCAAAATACCGATCAACCTTCGGGCGGCTCGAAGTTACTTCAAGGACCTTTGCATGCAAAACATTTTTTTCGTAGCAGTAAGGCCTATGTGTTTGGATGGACTTCGATGAACACAGGAGCACAATTGGACCATCCTCGTTTGCAAAGCATGAAGCCAGTGCGTCACATGCGAAAGCTTTGGAGGCAATGAAAAATCACTTCAGCGGCGAGCCCGCTGATGAGGGACTGCTTACCGGAGTGTCGGAAACGGTGCCCCGGATCGACAGATTCTTTATGGCAGGGCTCGTCGTAGCACGGCATGACTCTTTTGCCGACTACACTGAGTACATGAGATCTTTGCGCGTGGTGTCGCACTTGCCAATGGGAGAACAGGCTGGAGACATCAGCAAACAGACCTGTTCAAGGTTGGTGCTGTCAATGGCGCGACCTTTGTACGATCACGACGTTGCTGTGTTGCGCAGATCCACCATGGCGTCCATAGCCTTCGATGTCAGGGACGACCTCATGTTGGTCATAGGAAGAGTGTTCTTTGAAGGATTGAATAGTCCCCATCTTCCGCGTGTTGGGGTGTACGAGTTCCTGGTCGGTTGTCAGCGCGTGGGCGGGACTGGTGGATCTCGCGGCAGCGCGGCATCAGTGGAAAGAATCTGCAAGGACCTTTGCCGAACACCTCATGGCAGGGAGCTGCGCTTCGATGAGGATCTTTGGAAACACTTTCAGGCAGGAGGGAATCAGACGAACACAGACGATCCAGTCAAATGTAGCAGGTATCAACATCTTAGACGGGTACCCAAGAAGGCACACTTCATTACGGAGCGTTTGCCAGTACTTGACAGGCGATCGTCACAAGTGGCGTCTCCGACGGAGGCCCCAGCGAGCAGGGAGCGCTACCCATCTTGCAGAGCCTCGGTTCTGTGTTCTTGGGCACTTGCCTATACAAGTTGTAGATCAGATGATCGACGTACCTCTTGAACCCAAAGTAAAAGCAACCGCTCTGGCCAGGACCGAATGCTTCAGAAACATGGACCTCATCTCCCGGGATAGAGCTCACCGGTCCAGGAGCGTCATCAAGAATCTGTTCGATTCCCTCAACAACTTGTGTGACAATCTTTTGTCATCCTTCACGACGGGGGAGCAATCCCTGGCGAGGATGTTGAAGAGCCTAGCTTGCAGCTAGTATACTGTAGTATGCCACGCAAGCCTCCCCATGTTCTCCGTTAATTCTCTGACCGTTTAGTACTCTGCCAGGAACTCATCCAAGTACTCGAACATCTTCAAGGCAGAGCAAGCCCAGTCTTTTCGCAAAGCGGTCAAGAATATGTCGTTCGCTTTACAGCGCTTCGACTCGCTTTCCGAACCGCTTCTGAAGGTGTTTCTTTATTTCCCATCTGTGCTTCGCTTTCTGGGGGCTCTCACAAGAGACGGCGACGCAGAGGATGGGCGATGGTCAAGAAGGCTACTGAGCCAGGTCACGGGCCTGCAGGGCTTTCGAAAGCTCATGACGGCAGCGATGGCAGCTGATGCTTTGCTAATGGCCCAACGTTTTCTTCGGCAAGATGATCGTGCGGACACGGAAGTGTACTTGAAGCTTGGGGAGGCCAGGTGTGCAACAAAACTTGAAGACTCTTGGGTGGTAGCAGTACTTAATTAGACTTAATTTAGTTCGTTAAGTCCAGCCGTAATGCAGGTGCTTGAGCTTTTGCACAGCGTGGAGATCATGTTTGCCGACGGCTGCATTTTTGATGCTGCTCAAGCACCTGACACTGTGACACAACGAACTCTGCGCATGTTGAACGAGCTGGGTGTCATCCCTTTTCGCGAAGCGGGCAAGGACCGAGTCTGCAGCATTCCAGTCGGCGAGACTGCGGAGCTCCGTGATGTGGCGCAGCAGATACATGAGCTTTTTACAGCGTTCGTGAATACGAACTTTCCAGGTTACGAGCAAATGAACGCCTTTGCAGCCCTGCGACTGGACAGAACGCTTTCGTGGAAGCAGCGTCAAACGCTGATGTCGACACTTGCATTGTTGTTGCAATGTTCAGCGGAGGAGCTTTGGCAGCTCAGCGTGATTCGTTGTGCGATTCCGGGCAAAGGGGCGTGGATTTCGAGTTGGGGCTTGGGGTTTCTTGGCCCTTGGCCAAACTTCTGTTTGATTTGCGGCCGAGGAAGCAATTGGTTGGACCTTCAACCTCCCCAGGCGCGGAGCCATCATCAGGCATCTTCGCCAGGGCGCTGTGGTTCTTTAAAAACTTTGCTACAGCTGGCAATGTTCCCGGGATGCAGCGCATGCTGGACCAGTACGGCGCTTCGTCTGCGGCCTGGATCCGTACTTTGGCAGACTTGACGCCGCAGCAACGACGAGATCGACCACTCGCTGTCCAGCTTATCGTCAAGTCTCTGACGGTGCAGTGCGGCACCCAAACCGTAGAACGGTACCTGGGCGAGGTCCGATTGGCAGAGCTGAAACACCGTGCACGAGCCCTTGGCGCTGAGACTTTAGAATCATCCATCAAGCTCAACGTGCAGGATTTCAGTGGCCGTCAGGCAGGAAAGGCGTTCAATCCTGATTCGCTCTTCCGCTCAGCTGCTGAGAGTATCGAGAAGGGTGTTCGATATCGGGCAAGCAACTTTGGTTTGCAGTGCCAAAACGCTTATCGACGGCTCTATGGTGAGAAACAAGACCCCGGCAGAAGTCTTCTTCCGACAAGTGCCCGAGGTTCAGAGGAAAAACCCAAGCTCACTCGTGTGCGTAAGTCTGCTGGACCTGCGATGGAAACTCTGAAGCAGGCAAGAGACATGCATACCAAGTCGGTGAGCCAAGCTGTCGCAGCTGCTAGCAAAGATACATCTGCTGCTTTGGGAGCCGTGATTCAGGCACATGCGGATGTTGCAAGGGCCAGGTTGGACGCAAGCACGAGTGCAAGCAGCAAGCGCTCGCAACCAGATGATGGGTTGGATGTGAGCATTGTGCAACCTGAGACCTCTGCCCAATGACATAGTACTATTTTTTAAGTTTTCTGGCAGTGTGCAGGATTATTGTCGTTCACTAGCTTTGGGCAGCTTCGCTAGCTGGGGTCTAAACCAGGAAGAAATTGCGTACTGTCGGCGACATCGTGCAAGAGCAGTCTGATTTGCAGCGGAAGCACCGTCAGTTGGTGGAGAGTTTGCCATCGAAGGAGCCCGTGCCTTATGTCGATGGTGCTGGTCGGCAGTACAGGTACAAACTTCCATCAGCTCCGAAAACCAGTCTCTTTGCTCCTGCCCTTCCAGAGAAAATTCACTTCATATGCGATGCCAATGTTTGGCTGCCCTTGTGGCGCAGATATTGTGCAGCCGAGTCTCCGGAAAAGGCCCATGCAGTGTTGGTGGAAGACGTGTCCGTTTCCTTGTACAGCCCAGTAGCTCTGCTGGCAAGGTTGCACGGATTACGGCTTGTAGACAGAGTGTGGGCCAAAAGCAAGATGAAAGAAGGCACAGCGCTGTGCTTCGGACCCGCGCTCCAGATGCATTTATACATCCATCTATCCGATTCTTTCTTCGGGAAGCATCCTGAACATGCCAATATCTTGATGGCACATGGTGCTCAGCAGCGCTTGGTCGTTCGGAAAGGCATGCCCCCATCGACTCCAAAACATCCGAGGCTGACATTTCTTGTTACTGCTGGTTCTGCATCCAGCAGCAGCAGCAGTTCAATTGCAGAGCTTGATTTGGAAGCTTTGCTTGAGAAGTTGAGCTCGCTGATGCAGCCACGCTCCGCGGAGTGAAAGCTAAAAAGCAGTCTCCAGAGCGCTGCAATGCAAACTTTGGCGACTTGTTGTGTCTAGCTCCCGTTCCCACTTGCCGCTGTGTTGCCGAGGCCTTGCCATCTCCGCTGGCTGGAGCAGCAGCAGCAGCAACTGCGGCAGCTGCAGCAGCCACATTGCTTCTAACCTATTAGTAAACAGTAGTAAGTAATTTAATAATATTAGTAATAAGGCATAAACGGACTAAAAAGTTAAACCTGTTGGCCCCCCCCAGAAGAACGGCAAGTTAAGGGACCCTAAAATCCCATAAGGGCCCATGTCAGGGGCCCATGGGTCCTACATTAGACAGAAGTACGAGAGTTCGAGATGGAGAGCACTCGCAGCTGCGACCTCCACAGTTCAGTCAGTTTGCAGCTCGGTCTCAAGGCTTCGCGGGGTTTAGGGTTTAGGGTTTAGGGTTTAGGGAGGTTTAGAAGAAGTGGGGCTTTCCGAAAATGGGGGGGGTGCCTTATTTGGGGGTCCTTATATTAAGGATCCTATTATTTAGGGTACTATATTAGGGTCCCCTATTTTGTGAAATTCCCAAGTGGGACTCCTGTTCTTCGGTCATGAGGATCCCATTGTACGGGCTTTAGATTCGAGATCTCATGTCGGGATTTGGGTTACTTATCTTTGGTTAGTAGGGAATGGAAGAACGGTAGTAATAGTAGTTATAATTGTACCCATTCCTCCATTGCCTACTAGCCAAAGGTAAGGTTAAGGCTTGTCCATGCCTGTAACCCTAAACCCTAAACCCTAAACCCTAAAAAGGCTTGTCCATGCCTGTACCCAAAGCCCACGGAAAGACGGCCTGGCTTGGGTACTAGTTACTAGAAAGTATCTTGAAAGGCCGAAGCCTGTAGCCTCCTGTGTGGGATTACCGCGAACCTCGGACACTCAAACCCTGAACCCTAAACCTCCAAAGCTTTAAACCCTAACTAAACCCTAAGACATGAACCTCGATAGCTTAGGAGCCCCCAAAACTCCCGAGCGTCCTCAACCCCTGAAGCCCCTGAAAACCCTAAACCTTTGAAGGCCGCCGCCGTTTTTTTTATTTTGTTTAGAATTGTTGATTTTCCTGAATTATAAATGTATGTATATATGTATGTATGTTACCCTAAACCCTAAACACTAAACCCTAAACCCTCTTCAAATCCCTGCACCCGAAAGCCCAAAAACACAGGCCACTGACACATCCAGCCATGTCGGTTTCGGTGCAACAAACGAAGCGCAGGGCTTCTGAGAACCCCCAGCTCTAAACCCTAAGGTTTAGGGTTTTGGGTTTAGGGAAAAGGGCTTTGGGCTCTAAACCCCAAAAGCAAAAAAAGGGCTTTGGGTCTAGGGTTTTGGGTTTGGGGTGTAGGGTGTAGGGTTTAGGGGTTTAGGGTTTAGGGGGCATTTCCTCAGCACCGCTCAGGGCTGTTCCTGAGAACACTGAGCCCAAACAGCACAAAAAGGCTCCGGGCATCTCTTGAGCACTCCCAGATCAGGTCTATTCTCGCCTCATTCAGGCCGTTCTCTGAGATGTGGCTGTGCCGGATTTCGACCTTCTGAATTGAAGTGATTTTCTGCGTACCTCAAGAATCCTCCTTCATCTTTATGCAAACCCTGACCCGAGGGATTTTCAAACGAGGTCTATGGGGCTCAGGGGTTTAAGGGTAATGCGCTGAAGGGTTGGGGGTGGTGCCGGGATCGTTTGCAGCATCAGGTCTTGCCGTTCCGGGATCCCGAGTAATCATTTTCATGGCGGTGAGGCGGTTTAGGGCTTAGGGTTTAGGGTTTAGGGTTTAGGGTTCAGGGTTCAGGGTTTAGGGTTTAGGGTTTAGGGCTTAGGATTCTTGATGCACTATGCCCTACTCTTGAGGGGGTTGTCTAGTGCTAGTAAAGGGGCTTGGCAAGTAGGGTTATTATTAGGGTAGCTGCACATAATGTATACTTAGACTGGGATTTGGCGGCATGTTAAAGTAAAGTTAGAGTAAGGAACTCACAGAATTGATGTTGGGAATCATAAGTACCTGATTATGCCGTCATTCACTGGTCTGATCCCAGAGTGTTGGGGTTAGGAGGTTGAGGGCTTTGCATTTTCATGTTTTGAGATTGGCGGTTGTGAGTGGAGGGTCCTAGCAACCGAGAGGCCCTAGAGAGCAAGTCATGTCCACCTTACTGTTTTTGGGGCTTAGGGTTTAGGGTTTAGGGTTTAGGGTTTAGGGTTTAGGGTTTAGGGTTTAGGGAACGGTGAAGCTAAGCTTGTTGGGTTTTCTCGTCGGTCTCCGTGAGAAGCATCCATTTTTTCTTGGGCCTGGTCATTGAAGGAGCAAGTTCGGTGGTCGGCAGGGCAGAAACAAACGAACGCAGATTCAAAGAGAGACAGATACATATTGGGGAGTAGATTTGTCGTGTTTTCGTTCTTTCAAGCTTCAGGGGCCTGTCTCAAGCCGGTTTCAAACCCACAACCCTAAACCGATGGTGAAGGGTTTAGGAGATATTAAATTGCACCTGGAAAGGGAGCTCCACAGACAATGGGCGCCACGCCAATGATGACAACGTTCGGTGTCCCTCGGCGGCTGACCATCGTCCGAAAACCCGAGGACCTGAGGGACATGGCGCTTGTCATCGCCAAGTATGATCCCACTTTGACGGCTCCGACACTGCAAGAAGGGACGTGGACTCGGCAAGCTCGCTGTGTGTGTGGCAACCCGGGTGCGCATGGCGAGCCCGAAATCTCCATTGCCCTGAAACTGCCTGTCTGTGCTGGTGCCAGTTAAACGCGACGGTTTAGGGTTTAGGGTTAAGTCCCTTTATGGAGCAGCTTCGGGTTGAGGGCTAAAAAAGTTCGGGTTTTGAGCCTAAGGTTAAGGATTTGGGTCTTGGGTTTGAGGATTGGGGTTCAGGGTTTAGGTTCTCTATAAGGATATGGGTTTCGGGTTTCGGGTCGACCCGCCTTCCCCTAAGCCAAGACCCAGAACCCCACCTGAAAAAATCCCAAGCTGACCCGCGACCCCAGAGAGCCCAATACTTCTGAATTAAGGAATATGTCTTAAACCATAATAATGTTAAGGCCCCTATAATTTAAGCTATATTCCTTAATTCAGGGGTATTGGGTTCTTTGGGACAGTCCATGCAGGCCGGCGGTCTGCAGCCTTTCATGCTCGACACGTCCTGCCTGCACCGCTTTCCTCCGGGGCAAGGCTGCGGTTTGAGGCTTTGGGTTGCTTTAAAATTCCCTTCAAGGGTTTAGAGTTTAGGGCTTAGGGAAGGAATGTCGGAGCTTGTAGTTCCATGTTTACACAAGAGGAGTTCCAGTATTTTCAATAGCTTTGTTTGTTTCTAGTCTGTTTGAGCGCGAGTGCTGTTCTGAACGTTGGCTGGGCGGTGTTTGTTGCAGGTGTCAATTCCTACACTTGTGATTATGTCGTCTAAGATTATGTGCCAATTGGGCTGTCTTTTTCTTTTGCTGCGTGTTTGCGAGTTTGTATCTTCCACTCCAACATCAGCTCCGAAACCCCAGCCCGTCCTGTTCATAGAGGGGTGGCAAATGGCTTGAAAGTAAGGTGTACGCTGCACTTCGCAAACCCTACATTATAAACCCCTAAACCCTAAACCCTAAACCCTAAACCCGAGTCTACGACGGGCAGAGCCAGGCAATATCGATCTCATCACAAGCTTGCAGAGTTCTCCAGCAAGGTCCTGGCCTGAAGGGGCTTAGGGTTTCAGGAATTAGGGTTTAGGGT